GACGATGGTTTGCTTAGCTGCTAGTTAGCTAAGTCCACTCATCTGGAGCCAGTCTAGTTGGTCCAGCTTGGTATGTAACAAAGCATGCTACACGTCTCAGGTGTGAAATAACATGGAGAATAAAATATATATTTTGGACCAAAATCTAATTTATAACAGGACAGGACCGCCATATTTGCATGACTTCACCCTCTGCACTACAACTCCTGAAGCAGGTGTTGGGATATGAAGAGTTGAAGTGGGAAATCCTAAAAGGAACCAAGGACCATCTGATAAAAACTTACTGTATATGCGGATGTCAGTATTTAATGAGTATTTAGAAATGGTGGCCCAGATTAAAGGTCCAGTCCTCTTGTTGCCTAGTATTGTGTAGGTCCAAATGCCATTTTGTGACATTATTATATGTGGTGGGGAAAGGGAGAGAGTTTAGCTAGGAGTACTAAGTTTGGAAGATTGATTTGGAAAGGTGAGGCACAACCTGATATTAAAGATTTTGTATACAGTCACGAATTTTAAAATCTCCTTAGAAGGTGACTGATGCTTAGAGAGAGCATACTGACAGCAATAAAAACCAGACAGAGTCTCTATCCCTTCCCTACTGTACTGGAATGTTATTAGGTCAGATTTACTCAGGCAGCGGATACCCGTGATGTTGGAGTGTCTAGCCATGGCCCACGTGTTGAAAAGAACATTCAAGCCGCTTCACCTACTGAAGACAGTAAATAGTATGTCACTGCTGATTCACAAGCCGTTTTCTGAATGGCTGAGTGATCGGAGCCAGAATTGTAACTCTCAGAACCGGATGTTCAGCACTTACAGTACTGTACAGGCTGCATAAAAAGAGTTTTCCCGAAAGCAGAAGCAGCCACACATGAGTCAGGCATCAAAAGGGGTAGATTATATTTACATACTGTATTAAATGTAAAAAAATATTTTTTTTTCCCCCCAGAATTCGGCTTTACATTTCTATAGACTTGAGGCTTTAGCAGTCATTGAGATATAGATGAATTTCTGGTTTGAGTTATGCAAACATAATATATTCAGGTCAGGTGACAGTGGGTTATACAAGTCTTGTATAGTGAGCTGTAATGAGTGCTGACTTACCATGCAGAAACTTCCTAACCTCTTCTGTGACTGTTGGGTGAAGTGAAGGTTTTGGTATGTCCCTCTGGTAAGGTGAGAGTTTGGGAAAAGGTAGATGTGTCACTACCTGCTATTCTCAATGCGATATCTAGTCATCTACAGATAGCTGTCAGGCTAGAGTTTACAGAGTTTTGACTTCCCCCCCCACTAAGACCATATCACTGCAGTCTTAAGAAAGGAGGGGTACCAGGGGCAGCAATGTGAACCAAGTATTTTTCACAACACTTTTTAGTGATTCGGTCACTGTCGCGTTGTCCCCTGCAAAAGGATTGCAAGTATGACATCGGTCTAAGCCCTAACATGCAAAGATACCAGGGCCACTCCTTGCTTCTTAATCTTCACTATTCTTTCCATCCATGCGGTCAGAGGCACCTTCCTCATGCAATTGATGAAACAACAGTTACCCTTTTAGCAGCAATCAGTTTTTACTGGGCGCCAATCCAACACTGCCAGCTTCAATATCACTGTAGATAAGATGTTCAGCACTCTCCCAGGCTTGTACGATAAGCAGCATCCATTCTTTAACCCATATAAATTATGGCACTTCTGGTGTCCTCATCTGCTTGCCGCTTGTGTACTATACACAGCAGGACACACTCTCTCTCATTGTTATGCCTTTGCCACAATATAGAATGTGATGTTCAGCTTTTCTGGATTTAATGAAGTTACTGAAGTGCCCCTCCATGTAGCAGCAAGCACTCAGTGGCAACCCTAAGGAACAAAGGACCCTGGTGCAAGATTTTTCCTCTTGCCCACCCTACACCCCCCAAACCCGCAGCCCGCTCATAAGCCCAGCTCAACTTAGAATGCCTCCTCCAATGGGGGGGGGGGGGGGGGGTCTTGGTTTTTGCACCAAAGGAGCTTACACTGCAATGCCCCCCCACATAGTCACACACTATTGTTTTAATACATTTATATAGCTCTGACATATACCTTGTATCATAGTGCTGTACAGAGAACACTGATCAGACCGGATCTCACTGGGCCCCCCAGGATCAGATCTTACTGCCCCCCCAGCCTCAGGCCCTGGTGCAGTCCACCCCTGGCAAGCACCTTTTTAACACGCAGGTTCCGTTGAATGATAATTCAAAGATGAGCCCATAGACCACCAAGGGCTCAGTGTGGGTGACTACGGGTCTCCCCGTTTACATCCACCTGTCCTTTTTTCCATTCTTCTTGGTGGATAACCACGGGGACCATGTGAGAGGTTGTAAGCCACATGTGGGACAGTGACAGGACTGGATTTTTTTGCCATTTCTACTCTCTATATCAGAAATATATCCTAACTTGCAATCCTGATGAAGCGGACATTGTTCGCAAAACAAATCTATAAAAGTCTTCATTCCAACCACACTGTGTCGTGATAGAATTATAGATGGTCAAGATTCCTACCCGTATATGTGATCATATGAAATAAAATGCAATACTGTTTATGATTTAATGCTGCAAAATTAAACTTGCTGCAAGAGATTTATGTCAGTTGTGAGTTTCAGAAAATAATGATGTAATGCTTATTATAAATTTTTTTATAATTTATTAATAATAGATCCTATTTGCACTTTGTGACATCTCCAACTCCCATGTAAATTGCTCATTTGATGGATTATCTCAAGACTTACTGTTATGCCAGTGGAATGACTACATTACCCCGGTTCAGGAACTCCCCATTCTGGCATCTTCCTTATGCCGAGAATGAGAAATTCAGCACACATGTGCCTTAGGCTAGATGTAATTTTTGCAGATAGATCACAGCATGCTGTGCTGCTCTTCCAGAAATTGAAGGCGCGTAGGATAAAACTCTGTTACTGCCAAAATGTTTTTGGACTACAATTCCACTTTCAGAAGATGTGCAGATTCATCCACAAAAGTGATATAGATCTACCAGCTTATGCTGTAAATATGTGCAAATATATTGCAGTAAAAAATATTTGGACCTGCTGAGATTTGCCCTCAGTGTAGAGATCAACAGATATCTACAGCTTTGATATAAACATTTCTTTCTGGTGAACCTGTCAAGAAGGTCTTTTTTCAAGCACTTCCTGTAATGGGGTCCTAACTGTTCTCCTGCTTTGCCACCCCTTTCACATGAGCCTCTTGTCATGATTACAGTTGACTGTGCCGACACACATGGTGTAACCATAGATTACTGTTAGCACTACTGGGAAGTCAGTTCAAAGCAATGATGTGCCGATCTTGGAGGGAATGCATGCACATAGGAAAAAGCTTTAAGAGGATGGAGAAGATCGGCAGCACCAAGATGCAAAAAAAGAATTAAAAAGATGAAAACAGTATTTTATAGAGAAAAGTGCAAACCTTTTATATGGTACACAGTGCTTTAGCAAATGAAATGTCATCCATTTAGGGTTTACATCTGCTTTAAGCACAGAAAAAAAAGTACTGGTACATTAATAATAGTGATACGCCCACCGGTGAATCCAGTCTTTGTTGTCTTGCAGAGCAGTACTATTCACTGAAATATTCAGAATCCAACATTTCCAGGTGTGTCAAATGCCTATGTCTCCCCGCTGCTTACTTTGGTTGCATCCTTTGACAGCTACGTCACTAGTGTGCAAAGGGTGGAACCAAGTTGTCACCTGCAAGTATTATTAATGTACTTTCTATTTAATGCACTAATGATGCCTTTTAAGGGTTGACTTAGATAGGCGGGCATTTCCTTAAGAAGCACAGACAGAGAGATATGTTAGAAACCTTAAAGCCTATCTCCAGAAAAACCAAAAAAAATGGCTATGGGATTGTGTAAAGCAGTTTTACTCTCTGATCTCCGTTCTCCCGGTGGTCAGTGCTCCGCTCCACTCTGGTTTGTGGACTCTCCCTTGGCATCGTCATGTGTAATGCAGGACTATAGACCCTATATGGGACATGATGATGTCAGCGGGCATCTGATTGCTGGAGCAGAATGGGGAAAAGCAGCTGAAGGCAGCGCTCTTGGAGCCAACAGGAGCAGGATCAGGTAAGTAAAACGGCTTTACACTGGCCCTATAGACATGACTGAGCAATCTTCCCTTGCAGTGCAGTAGTAGCCCCACTGCAAGGGGAATTTTTTTGTTTCTACAGAGATTGGCTATAAATAAGTTGCCTTAGCTTTTGATCTCGCTGTTTTACTTGTCAAACAGTGACAACTGCACAAGCGTGGTACTTTGACCCTTTCTTCTGCTCCATAGTAGATTAAATAATTGGGACTGTTCACGGAGAGCTACTGAAACAAGTTGGAAGATCTCCCTGTGCAATATCAAGCATCCTATTGACCACCAGAAAAGTTTATTACCTTTGTCTACAAGTTCAGAAACACTGAGATGTTCTCAAGCAATACTCAGAATTGGAAACAATGCTCATAGTTGTTGGGTTGTCTATGGCTGTTCTTAGAGATATTCTGGATACATCAAGTGTCCTACCAGTTTAGATTTCTTTCTGTTTCTTGGTAACGTCATCTGGAGATAACAGGACTCTTCTATACAGAGTTATCAAAGCAAGCATTTCCAACATCCCTTAGCTGTTCATAGTCCCTAGGCTGATACACCATTTCACAACATAAAAATAGATACAACATCAGATGTACATACACAACTCATCTCACCGGTTAACCTTCCATCTCAACCGTCACTGCCTGAGAAAGCACCTTTCAGTGTCCAAAGTTAGATGCAGCCCAAGTACTGTATTGGCTTCTACTGGTGATGAAGGTCAAAAGTAAACTTTCTCTGATTATTGTTTGTCTATTTAGTAAAAATCTCATGGTGAGATGCACTTTATCTTACCGACTAATTTTTATGATTTAGAAGAAAAAGCAGCTTAATGACGATGATTGTTTTGTATCTCTAACTAATATCATTTTCTTGTAGGCTGAGCTACATCAATCATGCCGAAGATCTTGCCTCCAAATTGCTCCAGTGTTTCCCCAAAAATAGGCTATCTGCACAGGCTGCTTTGAATCACGACTACTTCAGTGACCTTCCTCCACGGCTCTGGGAGCTGAGCGATAGTGAGTACAGTGCCTTCCTTTTTTTAGAAATTGTAGACTCTGTTCTCCTGCTGCATGTTTCCTAGTGCAGAATAAGTGCGAAAGAATGAAGGGACCATAAAAAACATTTATATTATATACAGTATGTATGATAGATATTCTAAACTAGTGGTTTTCAACCTGCGTAACCACATTTGTCCTTGGTCATTAAGTCGTGACCCAAGTCGCACTGCAATGGAACGCACGGCATTGCGCTACCACGCGTTCCAGTGCGGGCAATTGAACTGTGGGCGGGAGGTGTTTTTGGGGTGCCATTCAATTGAATGGCAACACAATGCACCTCCCACACAAGAACGTGTAGTAGGTGCGATTGCATGGTGCAGCGCGTTAATCGCACTGGACTGTTCAATTATGACACTGTACTAGTGTGAACGGACCTTCAAAAACACTGACAGACACACAACCACAGACACAATCTCACACACTGACAGTCTCACAAACACATACACACTCCCTAAAAAAAATGTGTGTGTGTGTGTGTATATATATATATATATATATATATAATTTGTTTTGTTTTTTTTAAGATCCATCAAGTCTCCCTACCCTACAAGAACTGGAGTGGATCCTCAGCCTGGGGTCCAGTGCGGACTGCTGTGCTGTGACTGAGCTCCTTCTACATGTGCATTGCTTGTACAGCTCCCTTGCGCGCCCTGTAGAGGTGCTGGGAGCCAGAATGTGACGTCACTTTGGTCCAGGCACCTCTATAGGGCTCACGCTAAAGCTGTAAGCAATGCGCGTTTAGATGGTGCTCCCTCGCAGCCATATACCCAGCCCACCCCACCTCAAGCTGACACTCAGCGCCGAGCAGCATTTGAATGGCTGCTTGTCGCAATAACCGACAGTGTTGCACTAGGTGGAGGCTGAGGAGCCTCTCACCTAGAAAAGGGGAAGGCACACAGCGACTCACTGAACACGGGGTCGCGACCCATTTTTGGGTGACGACCCACCAGTTGAGAACCAAGGTTCTAAACCTTTGTCACTATATCCAAAACAATGCAGAAAACAAATCTGGATACTTTAAGAATCCAGTGATTGATTCCACCTTCCAGCCATAGACATGAGATGCTGGTCAGAAGATGCCAACCATTGTAGCATGAAACTGTGTGCTTGCACTGGCTGAGGTAATGTCAAACAATCCATATCCACTTCTACAGGCCCATCAACAAACCACCTCCTGTATCAGTTGATAGGCCTATTGGGGTCCATAGGGAGTAGGTGTGCAGGCATGGCTGTCAAGGAGAAAAACTTTGTTGGGAGGTGAAGGATTGAAGAGGCCATAGTGGTAATAAGGTAAGTATGGATCTGTGAAGAGGGAAGGTGAGCTGGTTTTTGCCACGGAGACTCAAGTAAAAGGATTACTACATTGTTTAAAAGTACAGTTGTCTCCTGTAAAGTGAACCCGTGCTTTGCTGTGTTGCCCCTATGAAATGTTATGTGAACAAAACATTAGCACTTGTGTACAATATATTCGACTATCAGAAACAAAAAATACCTGAGCTAAGATCCATGCAATCAAATGGAATTATCTATCCCCCGTAATCTCTCTGTTTGTTTATAGAGCAACACAAATCTCAGGCTAAGTTATTGACCATCTGGAATAGGACATGCTGTTTGAAAACTGCAGCTTTTCTGAACTGCAATTGTTAAAAAACAATTAGAAGGCTAGTGTCCTCTGCATGATACGCAGATATGGTGGGTGAGATACTCATAGACAACAAATTGCAAAGCTTGAGTGTTAGAATCCAAATTTTTTCTTGATAGTCCGGTATCTGGCGCAATATAAGAATGGATTCTAGCACCCAAAGTTTGCGATTCATTGTCTAAGTCAACGTTTTGCAACCTTTTTTCAGTCACGGCACTTTTTAAAAGTATGCAAAATCTCAAGGCACCCCAGTCTAAAATATAATGGATTTTAAGGGGGGACCCCATGCAAAAACACTAAAGTAAAATAGGTCCCCCTTCACATTGAAGTCCCCCCCCTTCAAATCAGGAGCCCCCCCCCTCAACATTTATTTATTATTGGTATTTATATAGTGTCGACAATTTACGCAGAGCTTTACACGGTGCACATTCACATCAGTCCCTACCCTCAAGGAGCTTACAATCTAAAGCTGGCCATACACTTTACAGTTATCGTTCGATTTCTTTTGTCCTGTCATCAAATACCCCATCATGCACAGACCAATCTAGATTTTAATTATCGTTCGTTATCAATACTAACAAATTTATTGATCGACAGAACAGAGTTTTGTTTGCCACTAATTCTTTGAATTTCGTAGGATTCAAAAAAAGTTTGCCAGCCTGACCGATCGGGAAATTCAACCCAGTTGTATAGTAATTGTAATCGTTCACTTCCCATCAACTTTCCGATTATCATACGAAAACCCAATCGTGGTCGTTTTTTGAACGATAATCGCAAGGTTTATGGGCACCTCTAGGTCCCTATCACTCATGCATACATACGAGGGTCAGTTTAGACAGGAGCCAATTAACCTACCAGCATGTCTTTGGAGTGAGGGAGGAAACGAAAGGAAACCCACACAAGCACAGAGAGAGCATGCTAATGCCTTGTAGATAGTGACCTGGCCAGGATTCTAACCAGGGACTCCCACTGCCTCAAGGTAGAAGCGCTAACCACTACGCCAGATTACCCCTTCACACCAGGAGCCCCCTCCTTTTCTTTCACATCAGAGGCCCACCCCCTTTTCACATCAGGAACTCTATTTACATCAAAAGCTCCTCAACATTAGAAGGATTTTGAGGCACCCCTTAGGAAGCCAGAAGGCACCCCAGGGTGCCACAGTACCCTGGTTGAGAAAGGCTGGTCTAAGGCCACACTCGCCCACTGTATTTAGATGTTAGACTGCTGGAAAACCACTACCAAGAGCGGTCCCCACAGAAGTTGAACAACCAAAGATTTGAAATAGACCTCACACACTGCTACTATCCTTCAACCTTGGGTCCAAACTTGAAGGAACGCCCACCCCATTTTCCAGCGCCATCCTAATTATCCAAGTCAAACTCTACTCAGCGTGGACAGTGAACACCTAATCTGAACACCCCTTGGTCTGCTTTGGATGTGGTTGACCTAATCTGTTTTCAGACTGGGCCACCATAAGAAGAGGTGACTTGTTTCTGGTGTATGCACAGTGCAGAAAGAACATGACATTGTTGCATTAGAAAAAAAACAACCTCAGTTTGCCTGAGAGAGAGCGCTGCGATTATTCCGAAGGAAGTGGAAAGTCTTGTACACTATCCCTGCAGCAACAGAAAACACAAATATAGAAAGAAGTATCAAGCCTTCCCCATTCTTTGAATTTTCAATGAAGAATCGGCTCCCTCTTGATTTAACGCAGTGTGACATCCAGAAAATGTAAAGATATTTCAGATGCTCCTTTTCAGCTCTTTAGAATTTTCAAAATCTTCTCTCGACTTCGTCTTTTTAAAAAAAATAATAAACAGCTTCTTAGCGACAGAGGAAACAAAACAAAATAACAAATAAAAGTGGTGTTTGTGGTGATGACTCGCTTTATCTGAAATGAAAGGAAAGCACGCAGGCGTCTCACAGAAAGATCTAGAACCAACTGAGGAATACAGAGAGCCGAGTGTATTTTTGTAGACTTGTAAAAAGAAAACCTTAATGGGTTTTTGGTCGATATTATTTCATTTTGGGGTTTATAAATTTAATGCTGGGCTCTGTAAATCTGAGCTCTGTAATCAGCAATACAACATTTTATGTATTCTTTTGAATGAAACCTGGGCTTGACTTGCTATCGGGCTTGCTATACAGTCGTCTCTGCAGCAGAACTCAGGCTGGGAGAGGAAGAAGCAGCACAATTAACAAATTTGGGGTGTTGCAGTGCAAGGCATGCAAATAGGAGGAGAGAGCACTGTGATGCTTCTTCTTTCAATATCCAGTCACAGACTAGGGGAAGAACAAGACCTCTAATTGAAAGTAAAACTGCAGCAGAGGGATATCAGGTCCAGTCCTTTGCCAGACAGAGCTGTGTTGTGTGGCAGAGCTGTGTACATCTCAGAAATGGATGCACAGAAATCCAAATCTTTTGGCGTGTAAAACAGCTCTCGTATATGTATTTCATCTGTGTATTTAGCTGTTTGTCTGGTGGTAAGATTTAGCCGCTGCTGTAACAGGGATGGAAAGCACATTGCACATGGTTGGTCCTGTCAGAGGAAGAGCACTCATTCCTTAGATGCTGAGGGGTGCTCCATGGATGTTGGTGCCACGCCTAATAGCCTAATAGCAGTGGCGTATCAAGGGTATAGCACATATGGCACGTGCCCTGGGCACCACTTGAAGCTGACTTTTTTTCTCTTTCACCACCCCACTCTCTAGTCAGCAAAAAAAGTAAAGTAGTCACCAATCCAAGCTTGTTCCTGTAATGGACTACAATCTCACGTTTAGTTTACTAATTTGTATTGAGATTGTAGTTTGAGATTGACGGATCACAGGGGTGAGCTTGGAGCGGTGACTACTTTACAACACACACAGGGACCATGGAGAACAAAAGTAGCCACCCTCCAGAAGGAAGGACAGTGTCAGCACAAATTACATGCTGTTATTAAATATATGTCCTACCAGATCCTTCTCCATCATTTACTCACTCAGTTTCACTTCCTCTAGATTGTATGATACATTCAGGTTTTTACCCCTGAAATGCGGAACTTTACATTTATCAACACTAAACCTCAAAAAAACTAATTTGCCATTTAGCTGCACAATAAGTCAACTTTGAAATCAGAGACATCTGCAAACACTGAAACTGTTCCTTCCTTCTGGAGGGGGGCTACTTTTGTTCCCTATGGTCCCTGTGTGTTGTAAAGTAGTCACCGCTCCAAGCTCACTCCCGTGATGGACTATAATCTCATGTTTAGTTTACTCATTTGTATTGAGATTGTAGTCCATCATGGGAGTGAGCTTGGAGCGTTGACTACTTTAC